ATAAACTGTCTCTGTTTTTATATATATATATAAAATATATATATATATAAAATATAAGAACTGTGTGTGGTATTTGCTGTTACCGATGATGTCAGAAACGTTGGGTGAGTGATGCTTGCGGAGGCTCTCAGCGTGGCTCACATCCAGCAGGGTGGAGTTCTTCACGTGGAAATGGAGACCCAGCAGCTCCTCCTGAAAGGAAGTCAACGGTACCGCTGTGAAGAGAAGATTAAAAACTACAATAGAATAACTTTATATTATGGCTGTGGATGAATTTAAAAAAATGGAGGACACACACAAACACACCACAGCAGTCTCTTCTGAAGATCTCTGGCGAGGGAAGACTGCTGCTGGAGGTTCCAGAGGAGCAACAGTCCTCCTCCTCCTCCTCCTCATCAGAGCTGAGACTTGTGTCTGACTCTGTGACGCTTCCCAGAGTCACCGTCAAGTTGTTCGTCATTCCACTGAATTTGAAGGCCTCCGGCTCGGGAGTCGTCTGCCTGGTTGGGTGACCTGCAGCTGACCCTCGGTGGACAGGTGTTTTGGGAGCTCTCATGGCCGGTGTGAAGGCTTCATCTCGGGGGGTTTCGGAAAACGCCGAGTTGCTCCAGCGTGGAGCAGATGTGCAGTGGAAAGGCTTGATCCTTGTCTGTGTGGGGAAATGAGGAGGGAGTAGAAAAGTAGGAGATGAGAGGAGCTGTGTGAGTGTTTACTTCATAAAATACTCAATATTTAGAGAACCAGGTTCGTGCATGCCATTATTATTATTATTATTACAAAGAGAATAGACGTCAAAGTTTGTGAGAAATATCTCCCTACTCACAAACACTGGGACGACAGCGGGGACATCCACCTCCTCGGGCTCCTCTGGAAGTGTTTCATATTGCTGTTTGTGCAGAAGTCTCCTGCACTCTGAAAGGAGTTCATGTCTGAGTCACTCACCTGTATGCAGGTGAGTGATTTACCTGCATACTGTGGGTAAATTATCTTTTATAATAATATGTTCTATGTGCATTAAATGTGTGTGTTTATTTCTTACTGTCTCGTCTGCTCAGTGCTGCTTTCACAGGTGTGTCTCTTTTGGTGCCACGGTGTCTTCGGTACCTGTGTGGACCCATTTCCGGATGAAATGTGGTCGATGATCGAGGTTTAAGCTGTTTGCTAACACGTTTAACTCGAATGTGTGATGTTATTTCCTTAAAGACAGAGAGAGGAACAGTTTAAAATGTCAGACTAAAGCTACTGAAACGTTTCCTCTCTGTTCTCTGTGCGCTGCTAAGCAACCGAGCACACCTGGAGAGTCGGTCAGCTGCTGATTGCGATTTAAATCCGCTCTTTTCTTTTACTTTGAAAGTCTTCAACGGAAGTCTTTTTTACGATGGATACCCATTTCCGCCAGTGATAAAAAAAAGAAGCTATAATTAAAAAAAATTAGGTAGCGTTTAAAAATGAATTATTTCTCAATATTTTGACTTATCTCAAAATTATGACAAACGTTTTCAAAATAATGACTTAGTATCTCAAAATAATGAGAAACCGTCTCAAAATAATGATTTAATATCTCAAAATAGTTATAGTATCTCAAAATAATGACGTAGTATCTTTCTCAAATTTGTTTTGTTAGGCTATGTGTATTTTGTGTGTGTTCACTTTAACTATTAAGTATCTGCAGCTGTGTGACCATGGGAGGTGTCTGGTCTGACAGGGCTCCTGAGAAAGAGTACACAAAGAAAAGTACCTTGACCTGTGGATACCAGAGCATATGAGTTAGTGGAGAAACCTCCTGCTCCTTTGAGGCCTCCCTCTTCCTGTGTGATAATGATGTATCTTCCCTAACAAAGAGACGTGTGTGTGTGTGTGTGTGTGTGTGTGTGTGTGTGTGTGTGTGTGTGTGTGAAAGAGTTTAATTTGTAAGATAAGAGAAGAGGAGAAATGGCCTTGGGGTTAACTCGTGGGTTTCCTGTGGTTTGCTACAGTTAGTGTGTGTCATTTCTTTTAGTGACTTCCGTGTTCAGGAACATCTGAAACCAATTAGGAGGAGCAGATAAGGTCTTTAAAATAAATTATGATAATGCAAAAGGAAATGTTACTTGTTTGCAATCTGGATCCTCTTGGTTCGGTTCCTAAACATCTAATTTATTGAAATGTCAAGAAGACAGAATAGAAAGAAGAAAACCAAGAAGAGGAAAGTCATTAAAACTCCCAAAATGTTACTTATGCACTGATGCTCCAGTACTAACTATCTAATAATTGAATACACAACAATAGGCTGTCATTTAAAATAAAGAGTACTTTTACTTTAGATGCTGTAAGTACATTTAGCTGATAATACTTGTATGTTTAATTTAGTTTATTTTTCAAATTTTTGGCATTGGTAAACAATCTGCGTAGGTTACTTCTTCTGACAGCGGTTCAAAGTTTTTCACACCAGCGATCAAGACAATTTGCTAGTACTTCCAGGGAAACCTTTCAAAATAAAACCTGCATGCAGTAGCATTAAAAACACAGTGAAAAAATAACGGAGACACTCGTTTAAAATCATTCCAGAATATCTTTTATTTCATTGAGCCCTGGTCCGATTCCCCGCCCTCCCTCATCCCTATTGCTGCACTCAATCATTACAAGGATATGGTGCTGATTCCATTTTACAGCAGAATAGATAAATAAATAAGTACAATTAATCTCACTACACGCAATGAGAGAGAGAGAGAGAGAGAGAAAAAAAAAATCCATTCAAACCATTGATTTAATAAATATGCTTACATCTAGCTGTCCTCATTTATGTACATCCACATTGTTTATGCTAGGGGACGGTAATCAACTTAAAAAGCCTATACATTACTTCTATGTGTAAACCCTCCCAAAAGAAAAAGAAAGTGTGTTTATTTAGTTTAAAAGTTGATCTATTTTCCTCCAGTGAGTGGGATTCCTCAGCTTTGCCTACGTTGCAAAGCCTTGCACTAGCAGCAGTGGCTGTGGGCAGCTGCATACAACCTGCTATATTAATGGCCACAAAGAAACTTCTTATTTTTCCCAAGTCAAATGCTAACGGAGCTAGCATCGCAGGGCAAACTGCATGCATTGCCCTGAGCCCTGGTTTTGGATTATCTCTTTTTTTTCCTTTTTTCTTTCACCTGACGTACTATTTGTGCAAAAGACAGATGAAAAGAAAAGATGTGATTGAGCCGACTGCAGAGCGTGAAAACGTCATGATTGTTACAGTCCCCGTCACGTAAAACGAGGCGCATGCATGCTAAGCTGCCGATCGCAGCCGCGTAGAGGTGACGAGTGAACGCGTTGACGTGAACTTGTGTGATTCGGAATGCGGGTCAAAGCATCGAGATCGAGACAGCGGTGGTTTGTAAGGCGGGAGCTGCTGCTCTCTCAACCTTGTTCTCTCAGTTCTGACCTCAAACACGATGGCGTGGCCTCGGGTGAAATTGCACGACGTCGAGGGTTGAAAGTTTCATCTTTGTTGTGTCGGATCAGGAGGAATGCATCAGGCCCTGATGCTTGTTCACTTAAAAGGAAAAATCGAAGGTTTTCCACTGAGGATGAAGTCCATTATTTGTCCCACAAGGTATCAGCAAGACACCTCCTCGAGCTACGCTGTACACAAAGACATCATGTTTGCTGTCGTAAACCTGTGGATGAAGGTTTTTGTTTGGCTGGTGGGTTTAAACCGATGGAGGAGAAGCAGATTTGACAGGAAGTACGAGTGGATTGTTCAACATAAAAGTACTGATGGATTACTGCTGCTGGGGACAGAGCGTTTGACGGTTTGTTTGGGTGGATAGCAGGTAGCAATTTAAGTCAGATTTAAAATGCTTAAAGCTACTACGAGGAACTTTTATTTTGTGTCGAATTTGGCGGCCCCTGTGGACTAACGTGGTAGTGTTTCCGAGCACCAGAGTCCCTTTAGAAAACCTAATTTTACTGCAGCAGGGTCTGACCCTCTCATTCCTGGTTCTGGTTCTCCCGTGCCTCCCTTCCCTCCAGCGGGTCCAGCAATACGTCCTGGGTCTCCAGCAGCGTGGTGTCGGTGTTGGCTCCCAGAGAGCAGAAGCTCTGCTCCTGGAGGAGGAGGAGGAGGAGGAGGAGATGCTGCTGCTGCCGGGAGCTGAGTTCTCTTCCTCCCTCCAGAGCTCTGACTGCAGGTCCAAGGCTGCAGAGAATTGGATCTGGGTCGGTCCACTATTTATGGTGGTTATATGGAGGATCAGAACTAAACTGAGACTGTTTCATTACCAGATAAAAGTTCCTCACAGTAGCTTTAAATTGAACAAATCAAACTAAGAGATAAAGTGAAATACATAATGCTTTGTTTTTAGTGTTGGCAGCTCTAACCACTGGACAACACTGAAACGCACCACGTCTGTTTATTGATTTGTTCTTTATGCAGCATGGAAAAGTCATGTCACAATGAAAAACAATCCAGCTAAACAGGGTGACTCATTTTCTTTTTTAACATATGCTTTCTCACAGTGAATGCATACATAAAAAACAAAATACACTTTAGAATGTGTATCGTATTCCATTTTATTTCTTTGATTTGTTTTTATCTGGGCATTTTAAATCGTCCATAGCGGGGGCCAAGGTTTGGCTTGCTTTTCCAAAAGCACGTTAAGCCTAAGGTGTCACATCTTTGTCCCACTGCAGGTCAATGGTCAAAAGCAGATCTTAGCTTTAAGATGCTCGGAGGAAAATGAGGTTCGGCCGGCCTTCACATGGAGATGCTGTCGTAGAGCCGGTCGATCTTCTCCTTGAAGTACTCCTTCAGCTCGGGCCTCTTGGCCTTTAGCGTCGGAGTCAGGAGGCCGTTCACAATGGAGAACATATCGCTGTGGATGTAGATGTTCTTCACCTTTAAGAGTGGGAATGAACAGAAAAGATGTTGAATAAAAACAGGATTCTTGAGAGTCCCTCAAGATACTTTAAGACTATTGTGTTATAGAACTTTACAAATAGTCATTTAAGAGATTACTATGAGTGTAAAATCTTTAATATACAGTATTTCTTTGCTAAACCGTTGCTTATCCAAGGGAACAAGCACCAATCTCAATACATATTTTATTTGGCTGATTTTATTTTAATATAATGAGAAAATAAATGTATAAAGTGCTGCAGTATAAATATTTGATATAATTTTACTGTGTGGCTCAACTGAAGCAATTAGTGAATAACTGCATTACTCAATTATTATAAAGATATTACGACAGAATCAAACAGACCTTAAGTGACATATTGCTGGCACATAAACAGACATGGTGTAGCTTTAAGACCATGATTATTACTGCTACAACAATGGATTCAATATTAACTGTTTTTTGCGTTAAACATATAACTGCCCACGTACCTGCTCAAACGAGTGGAGGCCGCTGGCTTTGCCCAGACGCACCAAATCTTCAAGGATGGCCTTCTTCAATTCCTGCAGACAAAAGAAGAAAGTTATTTTCCGGTCAGACTTCTCCAGCATCTGTTATTCACAGCTGCTAGTCACACCTACCGTGTTTTTACAGAGGTCCTTGTAGGTGCCGAATATGCCTTTTTTCTTGGCCCACTCAGGCATGACTTCGGGGTCGGGAACCACAATACCCACCAAACAGGACTGCAAAGAGCAAGCACAGACACAAGAGTCAAAAGATTGAGTTGTAACTCATCTCAGATAATGAGATTATGTGCTCCAGTTGTCCTGTCCTGAAATGGAGCACAAGGACCACAGCACAAACTCAGGAGACACTAACTGGACAGCTAAGAATCTGATTAAAGACTAACTGCACACCACCAACTAAATGAACTGACCGAAACACATCAATGCTGTCGTTATTATTGACATTTCTTACCAAATTTATAGGAATCTTTTCATGGTTGAAAACGTCTAAAAACACCATCTACTGTTTTAAATCAGACCTGATCTTTTAAGGCCAGTTCTGAGATCGAGTCGACCGTTGGTGAATAATCTATGTCATGAAATAAAAGAAGGTTGACGTCCTCTAATCAGACCCCCCTCTTCTCCTCTCCACACGGCGTGTATCGTTATTCATTTTTCAGTCACCACTGTGTAGCATTACAATCACAGCACAAGTCTGTTCTCTCCTCTCTGTGCTGTGGGTTTTTCTTGCTGGTGTTCTTACCTGCAGGCTATCTCCGTGGATGTAGAGCTGGGTCACAGGTTCGCTCCTGATGTAGATGTTCTCGATCTTCTCGGGGGAGATGTACTCGCCCTGCGCCAACTTGAAGATGTGCTTCTTCCTGTCGATGATCTTCAGCGTGCCATTCTATAACAAGGGGGAGTGGTCGAAGAAAACAACGCATTATTTCAAAGCACATGCTGTTTAATGCAATTCATTATTATGCCTGAGTAATGGAGCCTGAGGTGAGCTGTCTGTACATACGGGCAACCATTTGCCGATGTCTCCGCTGTGAAGCCAGCCGTCTGAGTCCAGCGTCTCGGCCGTCCTCTCCGGGTCTTTGAGGTAGCCCTTAAACACGTTTGGTCCCTTCACACAGACCTACATGGGAGATTAGGAAAGTGGAAATGGTGTCGAGGTCGCAGGTGAAATACATATATTTTTATTCCTATAAAGAAATGTACATTCTTACTTTATTTTTTTTATTCTCTAGATTGTGTTCACTGCATGAAAAAAATACTTTTCTGCTCTCGTAATATTTCTTAAATGCTGTTTCACACGCCACACATCTGGGCCTTGTTTCTCCGTAATGCCATTTTAAGATATTTAAGTCAAAGCAGCATCGTACAATTTTTAAGTTCCTTGTTACTCACCTCTCCCTCTCCCTTAGAGGCAAAGTAGTTCTTCTCAGGAACATCCACCAGTTTGATGAGGTTACATGGCAGCGGGGCCCCGACGTGACCTGTTCACGGGGTCAGAACAAAACGAAACTCAACCGAATGACTTCTTTTTGTGTCTTTGTCCTTTCGACTTTCGATAATTAAACACTGTACTGTCAACTCAACAAAAAGCTAATTCAAAACAAAATATGTGAAGAGGAGGGAGCATTTTCACCTGCACACATTCTTAAATGTATTGCTTGTATCAAATCTAAAAGATTTAGTTGAATTATTTCATAGAAATACAAATCTCTCATGCAGTATCAACAGCGACCAGCAGGGGGCGGTGTTGGACTATATTCTTTGTTTTAGCCAACATGGCGAGTGTTATCTAACTAATACAAATGTCTCATGCAGTATCAGCAGCTCAGCAGGTTGAGGCCTGGTCTGGTTTTACATCAACTCTAAAGAGATATGGACGTAAGAAGAGAAAAAGTCTAACATGGAATTCCACTGTCAAGGACACTATCAGTTCATTTTAATTAAAGAGCTTTTACTGTCGTAGCTTTTCTTCTATCAAACAGCAGTACATGAACAGTATCTGTGCTCCGGTCTGTTATCATTTAAATGGATGTTTCTGAATGTCCAGTACATATATGTGTTTATCATTTTACTGATTCAGACAAAAAAAAGGTTACTTTCTCGCCTGAAAAGATATTAAAACTTGATAAAGTGACAGCTTCGCCAGTTCAGCCCTGGCTCCAAATAGCCGCCATAGTACAGTTCTAAAGAGCCGCAATGCATTGTGGGGCAGTACAGTGAGCTCACGCCACATATTCTTTATAAATTCTTTATAATGTCGTTTACATCCGGGAATTTCTCGCATACACCAAATCCACGTACTATGCAGGGTAAACACTCTACATACTAAATTTAACATCATATTTACTATAAATAGTATGTTAATATGTGATTTCCAACACATATATGCTGTTTGCACTTGTTGCTTTGTGCTGTAAAAGGTTCAAATGTCGTGTTTGTGTTTTTTTTTTTCTATATTAATTCTGCCTAAATAATGCAACTGAGGAACCTTTAAATGATTTATTTTTGCTGGTGCTGTTTACTGTGAGGTCCCTTACTCATACTAACCTCAGGGTTATAAAAAAAGACAATACATATCAGCTATTTAACCTGCATGCTACGTATAAACAACAACGTGCAATATAAAGTCTTCATCAATAGAAAAGACTCAACTTCTGTGAAGTCATATCCCTTCATCTCCACCTTCCCTTCAGGGATTAAGTGGATTTATTCAGCTAATTTACTAAAAGAGCAAAGGTGATTAAAAGAAACTGGTTTATTAAAAAAAGAAATCTATTACGGGCAAAAGCTTTAAGTCTGTATAATTAGACACGTGGAAAATCACCACAGATGCCAAGAGGCTGAACACAACAATGCAGAACAATGTGGGGGAAATACAGGCAGTTGTGTTTTATACAGGCTTGTTGATGTTGGCAAGCAGGAGTTATAAAGTGACCTAACAGCTCTTTCTGCTCTTCAAGGCCTCTCCTTGTTTTTCCTTCCTCGATCTACTCCCCAGCCGCCCCCTCACTCTCGTCCTGCACTCACCCCCCTAAGACGTTATCTGAGTGGCTGTGACCCACGCGGTTCATATCGGGGTGGGGGTTCACTTATCACAGTTTACAGACTATCTTGACCTCCATTAAACTTTATCACCAGCATGGGAGGCGTTTGTTTCCTTAAGTCATAACTCTCACTTTAAGACCTTTGAACTGAGGCCCCAGTCACGTGAACAAGTTCAGAGGTCAGGATCTGTCTTCCTTTTACTAGGCCTGTTACATCACCGCTGACACTCACCTGAGGTCCAGTCTCCAGGTGTGGTATAAGTGCAGCCAGCTGTGCACTCTGTCTGGCCGTATGCCTCGTACACCTACACACACACACACACACACACACACACACACACACACACACACACACACACACACACACACACACACACACACACACACACACACACACACACAGGAGAGGTTGTTTTTGTATGTACTGCATGCTGGTTGCACATATAATATGTACCTATCTAAGACCCGCCTCCCGCTGCTACTCCATCAAGCTGCCAGAGCTACGTTAGCATGGAGACCACACTGTCAAAACATGTTAAAAAGCTGAAGATAGAAGCTAAAGCTACAGATCACAGTGTCAAAGTGAACCACCACATCACCTGGAGATCAGAAGACGGAGAAGCTAAGGAACAACAGTGTTCCTGTAAAGACGATGAGCTCTTTATTCACTGTTACAATCATTAAGAAGCTAAAGCAGCATGTGTTTACATCTAGTATACCTTCAGTACTGTAGCTAGCATAGCATAGGAGAGCTAATGGTAGTAGCTAATGTTAGCTCCACAGGTTTTTATGTAGAAACGTAACATTTTAGAAACGTACATCTTCTTCCAACCTCTCCAGGTAACGAGTATCACTATTACACAATGGATTGTCGGACCCTGGTCAGAGCTGAACGATGCTACGATGTGATTGGCCAGTCTGCATTTGCTGTTTGAGGGTTTATACTTAGTTTTAGGATTAAGGTTAAAACTAGGTTTTGGTTAATAAGGGTTTGGGGTTAGGTATGTAGCTGGGATGGTTAGGACCTAAAGAATTCATTATGTGAATGAGGTCCCTCAAAGAATATAAGTACATGTAAACGTGTGTGTGTGTGTGTGTGTGTGTGTGTGTGTGTCTTACCTGGCATCCCAGAGCTGCTCTGAGAAATCCCAGGACACTGGGCGAGGTAGGAGCCGCTCCTGTTATAATCATCCTCAGTCGTCCTCCGAGGCTGGCCTTTAGACAGAGGAAACACAGAATCAATACAGAGGGGTCTTCATGTTTTAATATTATTATTTAATAGTTTCCTATTATGATATTTATAAAGAAGAAAAAAATCTCATCAATTATTGTTTGTATTGGATTCCAGGCGGCAACCTCCGGTTTTAACAAGTGAAGTCAATGCTGAAGTGCCTTAAAGCTGCAGTCTCTCTAGTGTCCATCAGGGGGCGACTCCTCTGGTTGTATAGAAGTCTATGAGAAAATGACTCTACTTCTCTCTTGATTTATTACCTCAGTAAACATTGTAAACATGAGTTTATGGTCTCAATCTCTAGTTTCAAGTCTTCTTCAATACAGCATGATGTTCATTTAGTAACTTATGGTTCATTTAGAGTCAAACAGACCATGAAGCAGGGGATGCTTTAGGGCGGGGCTTACTGTGATTGACAGGTCGCTATCATTAAGAGTAAAATAGGTGTCTGTGGCTCGGTGTGTAGAGCGGGTCGCCCTTTAACCACACGTTTGACGGTTTGATCTCCAAACATGAAATCTAATCCTTTTGGTAAACCTTTTTCTAAACTAATTTCCCTTGCGGATATGAAAATGATGCAGTCGGTGAGTAACATAAAGGTGTGACATAAACTTGTACCAACAGTCTTAAGAAAAGCCTGGAGAGCAGTAACGAGATGCATCATTCCGACATTGTTATTATTATTTTCCAAAATGCACTGAGCACTCTATGTTGAGATGGGGAAAGGAAACGCTGTTTACCTGAATCTTACTGAAGAAGACTTTGTCCCAGATGCTGTCGCTGCGAATGATCCCGCTGCTGACCTCAGCACCTTTTCTCTTAGCAGCGAAGTTGAGCAGCCAGCGCTTCAACGGGCTGTTGGCCTGGCTGAAGATCTGCAGAGGAGACCAAGACAAAATACACTTTTTATTTGAGTTCTTTTAGGTTGGGGACAAGCGCTTGTTGTTCCAGCTGTTGAAAGCATCTTTATTTATTCATGTAAAAGGCCCCGAGATGATCAGGAGGCAGGTCACACAAATCATAACCGCAAGAACCAAACTCTCACATTATTCTTCCTAACAAATCTCTTACAATAAAGAGGGTTTTATTACACAACATGCATTTCTGAGGAATCCAGACTTCAAATACATTAGTCATGGAAAAAACAACACCTCATTATACCCTAGGCCACAGCTACGCAGCCGGATGGCAGATGGCAAACATCTTAACATGACTCAACTGGTTGTCTGCCAGCGACAACCAGTTAACAGTTTACATCCACGTCTGTCCAAATTGTCATATTTAGCTTATTCATTATTCAGTTAAGACCAAAAACGTGTTCTGTGAGGTCACGGTGACTTTCGTCGTCCAGTTTCTCATCACTTCAATCTCATCACATCCTAATGAGTTTGAGGACGTTTTGCTCAAAGAGTTCCTGAGATATCGCGAGAGAATGGGACAGACGTGAGGTCACAGTGACTTCTTTTGGGTTATTCTTCTGTTAATTTCCTTTGGGATTAATAAAGTTCTATCTCATCTTATCATCTAATCTTAGAACAAGCAGACATCAGTTTCTTCTCACCTTGTCGTACATGCGGTTGAGCAGTCGAGGCACCACGGGGAAAATGGTCGGCCGCAGGGTCTTCATGTCGTCTGGGAGGAGACGGATGTCGCCCTGATAGAACCCGATCCGTCCCCCGTGGCAGTACACCACCGACTGCAGACACACACACACACACACACACACACACACACACGTTATCTTTTGCAGACTAGATCCCAACACTGACTCAACTGTCACTCAGATGATAGAAATTCATGGGAATTAATTATTCAAAAAATAGTTGAAAGTGCATTAGGGACAAAATAAAGAGAGGAAAATATAACATCATCTGGTGGATATTGTTTAAAAACGGACTCTATTGTAATCGTGCTGCTCTGGATAAGAATTCACAAATACGTGAACTACTGGTAAACTTAGAAGCACTTTGTTGGGCACTGGTGTGAAATTTACACACAGAAAGAGGAACTACCACTAGATGGCATGTGATGTGACAACTATTTTATTTCTCTATGTGGTCAAAATCTTTAGCACTATTGAACTTTTCAATGTAAAGTCTTTATCTGAACTTGTAACTCCAGCTTTTCAGATAAATAGTGACGTAAAAAGTTGCACTGAAATTGAGTTAAGTAGAAGAAGAATGTATAAGTATCTCAAAACTGTACTTGAGTAAATGCAATAGTTACTTCCAATCACTAGTTTCTATGTTTGATTTCATCTTCTTAACAACTAAAAGGTGGACTACATCGTTTTTTGGGGCCTTTGAAGTGAACTGAAATGAGGTGAGGTGAACTGCCTTTAAACTCGACACTCTACTGGACTTGTTGAAGCACGAGAAAGAAAACATGAGCGATTACGGAGAATTGACTCAAGTCATCGGCAGCAGAAAGTGACTCATGATATCAGAGTGAAGGTGCTGCTGCTCCTCAGAAGCCTGAAGCCAGCGGGAGAGAGAAAACCTGCACCGTGTGTGGACCCTGTTTCTGGGGCCATCTGAGGTCGCAAGTCGGCCCTGTTTGACATCACTGGTACCGCCGTAAATGGAGGTGTGTGTGGGTGTGTGTGTGTGTGTGAGACCCTTTTCTTTCTAGGGAAATTGGGTGCTTTCCTGTGTGTGAGTCTCACGCCTCTGACTAAAAAACATGCTGGTTCACACATGGCACATGACGCCCACACGACAAGACACACACATCTTTATATTATTTATATCTTGATGACATAACGATACCTCCAAATTACCGAGAATCAAAAACAGGTTTGGCAGGACTTTACGCACCGTCGACGTGACAAATACACAACATGAAAATACAAAAAACTCGCCTGCGAATGGTATATGCCTCTGGCTTTTATTGTGAAAGGTAAGAACTTAAAATCGCTGCCTTTTTAAGGTTGAAAGCAGTAATAAAGTTTCCCGTCTTGGTTCGGACTACGGGGCCTCCTTATTGTTGTTGCCGCACTTTGCCCCAAAGTTCAGCCGGGTTGAAGCATAGACAAAACCAACTAAAAAACCTGCTGCCCCGCTGTGTAAAAGCTCATTTAAGAGACAAAACATTAAATCTCAGCATCTCAATGTTTGATGTCACATTCTACGACGAAAAAGTCGAAGCACCAAGAGCCTTTGATTGACAAATTTTTGGCTTCACAGATTCTCAGTGAAAACAGCCGCCACTCTGTCGGAGGTCTGGAGGGTAACGGCTCTGTTTGCCGTTTGGTCACAACTTCAATGGAAACAGCTGGCGGGGGAACTAAAACCCCACAGCGGGTGAAATAAACTGAAGCTAGACAGCTACCGGTGTCTGAAGCTTTTCCTTCTGCACGAAAACTTTTTAGTAAATAAAATGAGTTCTGTTTGTGAAACATTAAACCTTGGAAATCAAGGTCCGTTAAATAATCTGATGTAACTGGCGTTTGTTTTGATCTCACTGTGTGTGTGCGTGCGTGCGTGTGTTGTATGTCAGAGGAACAATTGTTGGAGCACCAGCAAATATCTAGAGAGTGACTGATGGTTTATTTATGGAATAAAGCCTGGAATTAGCTTTTTTACAAATGGAGAGACAAAGTACATATATTCCCAAAAAATCTCTCCAAAACTCACAGCAAAGAAACTGATCCTTTAAAAGGTTTTCTTATCTGTTTTTGACACCAGGGCATGTTCAGGAAAAACACTTCGAACTGCAAATGCCATTTTCTTTTAAATTCTTTTTTTACCACAGTTGAACAGTAGAGTCTTTGTAGTAAACGTCAGGCTCTGTGAGAGCAGATGGTGCTCTCTCTCACCACTGAGCCCGTCGGTCCAAATGAAACAATGAAAAGAAACAGAATGAACACGCTTCAAAACGCCGGCTTTGGTTTAACAAATACATTAGAGGAGAAATCTGATTATAGTAAATGGGTAAATATGTAAATATGGGCTCCTAATCTGATTTTTTCTTGATAACGTGGTTTCCTGTGGGCATGTAAGGGTGTGTGTGTGTTTCATCAGGTTAGGAAAACCTACCCACCACTGGCTGTCAGAGGCAGGTTTTCATTCATCATCAGAGTTGGAAATCGAAACTTAAGGAAAGGAGATGGAAAGGAAAAACAGAGCCTCTCCCTCCCCCCCTCATTCCCCCTCTTTCTGCCTCCCACACACTAAACAATCTGAGATGAACGCCCACCTTCGCAGTCACTTAGATCCTCCCTCTGCCCCCGCTGACATCCTAACACATAACTATCTCATTCCTGTGGTCAGCGGTGACGATGCCAGCTGGGCTTATTTACCTCGATGAGCCTCTCGAACATGTGAGCCAGCGGCAGAAAGGAAATTAGGCAATCGTCTTTGTTGGGGAAAATGACTTTCTGCAGAGGGGATGAAAAGGAAAGGAAACAATGTCAATTAAAATAAAGAAAAAGCATTTCACAACACAACCACTTAAAGTTCCAAAATGAAGACTCACATCTGTTACTTTGAGGAAGCCTGAGAAATCTGCCACCACGTTCCCATGGGTCAGCATGACTCCCTTTGGGTTCCCTGTGCAAGCAGAAACACACACACACACACACACACACACACACACACACACACACACACACACACACACACACACACACAGTCACACACC